TACAATAAATAGTGCAGTTTGATGGATGATTCTGAACACACATACTTAATACTGCAACAAACAATCTTAAACTAACATATTCCATCACCAACCACTTATATTACTAGCGATTATATCATATCTTTGTTTTCCCGCACTAGTGCGGGAAAAAATTTCCCGCACTAGTGTGGGAAAATTTTCCCGTACTGTTGCGGGAAAATGACACTTCCCAAACTAATTTGCGTGCGGGTATAGGGTGAATCACGCACGCTTGTAGAAAAAAATATGTTCCTATCTTAGATTCCTCAATATCATGAGTTATTTTCGAAGGTTTTCATCTTGACTCAAACAAGCTATTGACAACCTGCAGACATTGATCGGAATATCGAAACATTTCGAATAATATCGATTTACTAATGATCTTTAAATTTCAAAGCCTACCAAGTGTCGATATATCATCGAATTCATGTCACAGCCAACTTATTCAACAGCGAATTAAGGAATAAATGCCACTTTGTGATACATGGTTAAATAGAGAATTTCAAGGCGAAAAAGATAGACTGAAGAAATGTACAGGGTGACATTTAAAAAAAAAAGTTGGGGTCACTTCCGGTCAAACAGGTGGATGAAAAAAATTGTCGTTAAGTTCGTAAAGTGCGCTACCATTTATTATATACCCCCTGTGAATTTCAAAATTTTATTTCTTCTTCAAATAATAAAACTACCCGGTATATCTGGGAAGAAAGTACTTACTTTTTTCCCACGGGAAAAATGTAATTTAAGAAAAGTGACATTTTATAACCTGCCAACAGAGATGAAATGCCAAATTTTTTCCCGTCACAGAAAAATATAAGTTTTTAGTACGAAATTTGGTAGCCGGGGATTATTTGAGGTGGGAAATCATAATTTATATTAATTTTTATGTAGCACCTAGAGCGCTGCGTAAGCTGTCATTAATTATTTAAATTTTATTTCAAGTAACGTTTTGGCACTTTTCGTGAAAAAAACTTCCTACACCTTTTTTATCTACAAAAGGTACACTTCCTCAAAACCACTGGAGGTGATCGTTTTTACTACTAATATGTTTGATGAAAATACCTGAAGTTGCAAAAAAACTCATAAAATTTCAACAAACTGTAGGTACCTCGGAAACGAATCATTTTCTGATGTTTTAGGAAAAAAGTTGTCTATTTTGACGAAATCTACCACTTACTTAGTCTTCAGCAACTTCATTTAGTACCCTAGGAGCGAAGTAACGTGCATCAATATAGAAAATTGTGAGTATCTTGAAAACAATCACCTCCAGCTTTGTTGTGAAAGTGTACAGGGTGAATGTGGAAATAGGATGTTTTCATGCGAAGTGCGAAGAGTTTACTTTTAAAAATGTCAAGAGACATTTTAAGTAGATTATGACAGCGCACGCAGCGTCCTCTTCGTGCTAGATAAAAACTAATACGACCTCACCTAAAAAAACTCCGAGTACGAAAGACCGATTTTTTGCTAAATAATAAAAATGGGTGTACCTCAAGGATCCATTCTTGGGCAATTACTATGTATACTTTATACGAACGATACAAGTGAGGAAATTGTTCAATATGCAGATAACTGCTCTATAATATTATCATCCATTGATCATATAAATATGCACCGCTGAAGAATGAAAACAATATGAAACTATATTAACTAGCAATAACACTATAATTCACCCATCCAAATGCACCAAATTTCTTGGAATAGAACTTGACCATAAATTAAATCTCAACAAACAAATTGACTGCTTGTGTAAAAAATTGAATAAACACTACTATGCGATGAATAGTCTGAAATCGAACCTCTACCGATGTCACCTAATTCACATTTACCATGCTTCAGTCTACTCTGCGATCAGCTGCAATATAATTATTGTGTGAGGCAGGACGGCCGAAATCACGAGAGTATTCATTCTGCAAAAACGATTTATTCGCCTGATATTTAACTTGGACTATAGAGAATCATGTAGGGAGGCTTTTAGGACGAATACGAAGTTAATAAACTATGAAATTTGATCTAAAAAATGAAATCTATTTCTCTGCATTGTGATATTGTCATACAAGATGGGCCAAAAGAAGTCATCCGATGTTGTTTGGCTCTCATTTTTTTCTAAATGAAAAGCTTCGATTCTGTTTTTGGATTATGTTTATTTCAACCTTTAGAATTCTATTGGTCAAGTGGAGTAGATGATATCGGTCAAATAGGAGCCACCGCAATTGTTTGCTATAGGGGCTCGTTTTATGCATTTTTCATCACTTCGGCGAGAACTTCGAGCGACAGATTGTCGCACTAGTGTCGAATGTGGTCCTTGAGGGCTTCCAGGGTCTCGGGCTTGTTCACGTAAACACGGAACTTCAAAAAAAAACACCAAAAAGGTGTGGAACGGTTAAATCGGGAGATCTTGCGGGACAGTGCAAATCGTCAAAACGAGAGATGAGGCGATCCGGGAATGCAGCTTTCAGAATCAGAATATCGGTTGTGGCTCGCGCAGTGTGTGCCGTTGCTTCGTCCTGTTGGAAGCACAAGCCCTCCAGTCATAAATCGTTCAATTGCGGCAGAAAAAAACTCGGTTAACATGGCCCTATAGCGCGCACCGTCCACTGTTGTCGTCGAAAAAATGACCCGATGACTCTTCCAGAGTGAACAGCGCACCATGCAGTCACTTTGTGCGGGTGTAATAGCTCCTCGTGCATCACTCGTAGATTTTTGGTGCCCCAGAAGCGATAGTTCTGCTTGTCCACGTACCCACTGAGGTGGAAATGAGCCTCGTCGCTCATTATGATTTTGGTCGAAAAATCGTCCACGAGATTGAGGATGGCTTGGCTTGGATTATTCCGCGTTCTTGGGGAGTGTATCGCTCCATGGCTTGTTCACTTGTATTCTACATCTGTCTAGTTCACAAATGTCAAAACAGATTTGACATTGACCGCCATTTGCAAAAATGAGAGCAACTTCCAATAGGGTGATTTCTTTTGGCCCACCTAGTATTACCGATATTACTATAATCATGTAGTGAGAAGCCGTGCATCAGATTGAAAAAATTGTGGTAATCAAATTTGCTGAGAAATCATTGGGAATTTCAGGAATGATTTCAATTTCGAGATTAATCAGTGGCGTACCATCAATGTCTGCCAAAATAGCTATGTAAAATTCCATACGAACGCCACTGGTGCCCAACAAAAAAAAATGTGTTACACTAACTGATGCCTCTTGATACACAGTACATGTATGCCAAATTCCATTAAGTGGTATTACAGATATTGATAAAAAAGTTAAATTTTTTTGAGAACTTTACCACCCTGTATCTCAAAAGTTAGGACGTTTAGGTCATACGTTTATATGAAACTTTCTTCTTAGAGTGGGGCCAAGAATCCCCTCCCCCCCAAATATTGGGCTTTGATTTTCAAAGAACAAATAAAGATTATCTATCTCAAATAAAAACGAAGAAGAATTTCAACACCCTGTATCTCCGAAACGAACCATTTCTGTACCCAAGTTTACATACACTTTTTTCTTGGTTTTATCTGAGGAATTCATCTTCTAATATTTCAACATACTTATGTTATGTATACAGGGTGTTTCAAAAAACCTAACCCCCTTGCTAGGGTAGGTAGAACATTGCAAAATAAGTTGGGTTTGCTCAGTGAAAAAATGTCGTGACGCCATCCGTTTTCAAGATACAAGGTGTTGAAACAATATTTTTTTTACACATTTTTTACGATTATGTTGAAACTACTGGCAACATTGTGATGAAATTTTGTATGGATGTTTCTTGTTTTTATATCTGACTCTCATAGAGGGCGCTAGTTACACGGTTCGTACCGAGTAGTTTTGAACATAACTTTTTTGAGGTTAGATTTTTCAATCCAAATTTGATGTGAACTTGAATATCATTCAATTTCACACCAAAAAGGTACTCTTGGTAAAACTCGATACTGTGTTCCGTTTTCGAAATATTTCGATTTGAAAATGATGAAGTGGTAACTGTTGCTGGTATAAAGCTATGTATTAGAGTGAGTATTATGAAAAATTATCACCTATTTATTGAAAACCGAAAACAACAATACATTTCTGATGCGAAACTCATTGATTCAACAATGAATCACAAGAATAACATCGAAACAGATTTGACTAAGAACATGGATTACACAGTTTTGTTGTATCTTGAGCAGAAAGTATATGCTACATAGGTAAATTCACGTCAAGAGTTGTGAGACATAATTGAACATCACTTAAATGACCTAATAGCTAAACACTTACTCTAACTGATTCAATATTTCATCTTTCTAGTAAAATATCTCTTAATTTTCTACTTATGATCCTTTGTTTCACCAATAACTTCACCATAAGAATAATTTCATTGTTTTTGAACCTGAATAAATAAGGTAATTGATCTCAATGGAATTCATTTTATACCAGCATCACTATTACTCTATTATTTTCTAATAGAGATATTTCGAAAACGGAACATAATATCGAGTTTCACCAAGAGTACCTTTTTGGTGTAAAATTAAATGTTGTTCAAGTTCATATCATATTTGGATTGAAAAATCTAACCTCAAAAAAGTTATGTTCGAAACTACTCGGTACGAACCGTGTAACTAGCGCCCTCTATGAGAATCAGATATAAAAACATTCATGCGATGTGTCAGATGTCAAGAAACATCCATACAAAATTTCATTACAATGTTGTCAGTAGTTTCGGAATAATCGTGAAAAATGTGAAAAATAATTTTTTCAACACCTTGTATCATGAAAACGGATGCCGTTACGACGTATTTTGCGATGTTCTACCTACCCTAGCAAGGGGGTTAGGTTTTTTTGAAACACCCTGTATGTTAAGTATACTATTTTTTTGTCACTACTATCCTGTGAATTATGAATCTGGGCGAGAAACAAAGTTACTTCGACCTGATAATCATCAGTTAATTAAACGCTGGCCACTGGCCAAGCATCATACAAAAATATTATGACTGGCGAAAATTACTAACTCAAAATATCCAGTTCGTTATTTGTTAAAACCTAAAAATTATGTTCATTATGATCGGATCGTTCTCAGAATTTTGTCAATCGACGAAAAAAAAAACATCCATAGTTCGAATATTCGTATTCACATAAATATACAGCTGTTTGAGCCGTTTTGTTATTCAGGAAGTCGAGATAATAATTGGCAAAGTTGAAACTTTGATACATCTGGTGGGTATATTTTAGTCAGTGCCTATCTATAAGGTCATTTATACGAGGTGGTTCAATTTTTATCGAACAGATATGGATTTAGTTCATTCAAAAACAATGGGGAAGTTTCCTATATTGAGGTTTTTATCTCACTGTGAAGTTTGTAAAAAATTAATATATACGTATTTCTTCTTTTTAAGATCAAATTTCGCTTCAGAAAAAAATTAATAAAAGAGGAATCCGGCTCCTCCTCCATTCCTATGACTTACTTTCTGAAAATCCACATTCACACAGAGTTTAAATACGATTTCCTGTGCCAGTACGACGTTGCCGACATCATCAATATGTCTAGATTTCTGGAAATTGTTCTTTGAATGCATGATAACTATTATCATAACAGCAATACGATAAAATATGCTCTTCAATCCTACTTTGTCAAGTATTATGAATAATTCCCATAAATCTCTCATTGGCTGAACGAAGTTGATTACTAATAAAGATAAATTATGATAATTTGCGATAGTATCTATAATTTTTCACTCTCGTTATATTACAATATGTTATTCATAACTTGTCAGTCATTTTTTGCTAATGAATTCGTTCCTTAATAAAACGGATCTATTTTCTAGGAAAGCTGCAGATTATATCTTGCAACAGCGCCTAATACTTCGAGTCCGTCCACACCACTCAAATTACTGACAGGCACAGCAAGGGGAAGGAGCCATGGGTGTCGGCTTCATTCTGTTCTGACCGATGGCAGTAAATAAGGAAGGATAGTATCATTGAATGTAGCCGATAGTGATTAATTGATTCAATGATATTTCAATGCATTAATAACAAAACCATAACCTGTCAGAATGAAGCTAACTACCCTCTGCATTCCTGCTCCGAGTGCATTTGTGGTTATGTATGTTTTTATTTACCAGTATTACTTCTTTTATTTTTTTATTCATTTTTCATTCGTTAGCTATTCGCTAACTATATTCTTTCTTCACCATCAGCTATTTTCAGACTAGATTCAGATTGTACGTCACAGTTTGCCGCCCGGAAAATTATTAATTGTTTTAATTTGAAAATAAAAACGACTTGGATTTTATCGGTCGCCATTCTGTACAGCGTGGACATAAAACTAGAGAGTTCCGAACTTATTTTCTGATGATAATTCATCTGAAGGAAACTTCCCCATTACTGATCAAAGGTGGTCAAACCAGAAAAATATAGTTCAAATTCAATTTCAAACTTCCGAGAAATCTTTTTTTGCCTGATGTTCTTCAACACCCTGTTGCTTAACAAATGCTACTTGGGGGCAAATGTACTAGTATATCCTTAGTATTTGACGACCATCTAAGCTCACTTATTGTTCCAAATAAAAAATTCAATCGCCCTGTGTAACATATCAACGAATAAATCCTGTCTGTATTTTCGAAGATTTTTGCAATAATCTGGTACAATTAAGTGCCCTCAACCTGAACAATATAAAAAGTCAGAATTGATAATAGATTATTCATTTCCACCACAATAATCTGAATGTATACTTATATATTCAATCTACAAGTTCTGCCAACAAGATGTTCAATTTATTATTGTTTCATACCTGGTATCTTAGGCATTAATAACTAAATTTGCTGTCGAGTTCTGAGCTGCGACAGAAAAAAATTATGTATACTTTTCAGTATAAAGAAAGGAAGACGGATGATAATGTGCTTGAGGCATTGGAATCTCCATTTTAATTATTTTTGGAATATTCCAGAGACATCGTAGGATAGAAGTTTGGTATTGGAATTTGTTTTGCACATTTCAGTTGAAGTTGAAGGGCAATTTATGCAATAACTATAACGTTAGGTAGATTGATGAGTCGTTACTAGATATTGTTGTAGGAAGCAAGATGACACACTTCTTTGTCAACTCAATAATTTTCATTTTTGATAGACCAATACTGAGAATTAAAATATCAACAGTATCTCAACTACGAAATTGCCACAATGCTCAAAGTGGAATAAAATGTTGAAAAAATACAAAAAGGTCGTCAAAGTCATTTCCACACAATGTTCCTAAAATGAACAAAAATGGTAGATTTCGGGAGAAAAACAACTACTTTCCTGACTAATGCCACGCAGAACATTGAATTACATTCCTTCCGAAATATATGCATCGACTCATATAAACGAATACGGATACAAGTGATTCTTTCCTGAATGCCTATGGATTTTGATTTAGCCAGGTCACGCTAGATAGACATTCAGGAGAGAATCACTTGTATCAGTATTAGTTTATACGAGTCGATGCATATATTTTGGGTGGATGTGATTCAATGTTCTGCGTGGCATTAGCGAGTAAAGTAGTGTTTTTCTCCTGAAATCTACCATTGTTGTTCATTTTATGAACATTGTGTGGAAGTGACTTTGAGTTTTATGTATTTATTCTACATTTCATTTCACTTTGAGCACTATGGCTATTTCGTAGTTGATATATTACGCCAGTCGGGCAACCATCCACTCCCGTAGAATTTTGGTTTTGGAGTGTTACTTTCCTTCTTTCCTACTCAGATGGCGTTACTCTCATATTGTCTATGGAGGACGCCTCTGAGGGAATATAATGCCGAATTGATTTTTGTTTGGCAAGGCTACGCATAAACAGCGGTCTTAGGAGTGCTGGCTGGAGACTGCCCTGCACTGATGGGAGTCAAAGAGCTCGAAACCGGTCTGTAGGTGTCTACCGTGGAAGAGAGAAGGAGAGAATCACTTGTATCAGTATTCGTTTATAGGACTCGATGCATAGATTTAGGATGTGATTCAATGTTCTGCGTGATATTAGCCAGAAAAGTAGTTGTTTTTGTCCCGAAATCTATCATCGTTGTTCATTTTATGAACATTGTGTGGACATGCCTTTGAGCTTTTTGTATTTATTCAACAGTATCTGTTCACATACAGATAATTCGTCGGTAAACCAGTAAACTGTATGGAGAGCATCTGACAAATGCATTTCAATATTTCAACAGTTCTTGGGCCATTCCTCGCTTCGCTTGTCGTAAATATTCCAAATAACGCGTCATATTATTTTATAAAAACTTGTATGATATTCCATTTCATATCTCTTGAAGCAACCATTGAAAATTTTAGAAATAAGATGTAAGATTTCAAGTGCAACAGTAAAATAACTCACCTCTATATGATTCATTTTTGTGGCGTCATCACAGTCTTTTCCATCTGTAGGATCTTTCTCTTGATCTGGGTCCTGGAAATGAATGAAAAATAAAATTAGGACATAGGTATGACGTCCTTACAACTCTAGTTCTTTTCTCTCAAATTAGGGAAGTGGCTTGAAACATTCAGATATTGTCAAAGTTTATTATTCTTCTGTTATTGAGGATTGAATGATACTATATTTCACACCGAGGTGGAAAGATATTCTTTCCTGTCGTGAGGTTATCTATGATCTCGAGACAGGAATGAAACTTCCTACCGAGGTTTGTATACTATTTTATTTATTGTATACTATTTTATTTACAACCATCATATTTCATCAAAATTAATAAACCTCTGCTTTGCTCTGAACTACCTAAAATATTACATAAGTGAGGGCGAGAAGTAGAGGTGTATAATGTGACGTGACACTTCCCAACATTCAATGCCGTTAGTAATGACAACATTGCAAATATGGTTGTAGATAAACATTATGAAACTGATGAGGTGAAGTTATAAAACTGAATTTATGTTTCCACATAAACATATTTTTACTACTTACGTCAATGTTTTCGAAAGATACAACTCCAGTTGATCTTCTCTTGGGCCGTCTTCTCCTCTGTATCGCTGCTTGGGTGGCCAAAGTGGCTTGTGCATTTCTGATGTCATTCTCCTTGTCTTGGTCTGAAAAGACTAACAATCATACAGTGATCATAAGGTAATTTTTGAAAACTTGTAATTAGATAGATAGATAGATAGATAGATAGATAGATAGATAGATAGATAGATAGATAGATAGATAGATAGATAGATAGATAGATAGATAGATAGATAGATAGATAGATAGATAGATAGATAGATAGATAGATAGATAGATAGATAGATAGATAGATAGATAGATAGATAGATAGATAGATAGATAGATAGATAGATAGATAGATAGATAGATAGATTGGTCGGCAAAAGATTGAAAAGCTTAATACTGTCACAACAAATGGGTTGTGTTCCCACCATATCGATTTATAAGGGGTATGCTTGGCTTAATATTTTGCGAGAGGTAATATTCAAATAGGCACTAATAGTTTAGGGGTAACTGAAAGTACGAGACTACATTCAAACATAACAATATTTATAATAGCATGAAACATTATGGGTAGCGATAACAATTATGAATAAACAACAATGAATATAAAGACTGAATAACAACTTACATTATAAAGACCATAACGACGAGCTCTTGTCAAGTCAAGAGTAGCCCCAGACCAGACTAACTTCGGAACCCTCAGATCCAATATTTATATACATCATTTCATTAGAAATGCACGTTTCTCATGAGAGTTCCTTGGTCAGTTTTTATAATTCAATGTCAACGGATGATTTGATTTACTTTATGTTTATAAAACCCTCATGGTTCGAAATTACTGATATACCGTATGTTCTACTCGTGACATGACCCCTCTCTCCGAGAAAACTGGACCCCAGTTTTTAAAATTACTACCTACCTAAATATATCGAGGAGAACATTCAAAATTAATATGCATATTGTACAAAAAGTTTCAGAAAAAAAAATATTCACAAACATTCATAGTTTAGTGTCTACAATGCACACTCACACCTTTACTAAGTCCGGCACTGGCTATTCAACTAAAGCATTTCAATCAGACTCTTCTCGGTGGGACTTCTGGCAGCTCGGGGTAGGGAATGACGATTGGGCATGGCATCCTCCAATCGTCATGGTAATTTCGGCAGGATCCTTTTGGGCTCGAAGGTATCCTTGTCCTGGGCATCGGGAAGAAATCTTTCGGGCTTTAAGATTTTCTAGACTGTCATTCGAGGTAGTTGGCAGCTGAACGAAGGGAACTGCTGGGTTCTTGGGGTAGCGAATGACGACTGATGGGCATCCTTCAATCGTCGTGGGAATTTTGGCGGGATCCTTTTTGGGCTCGAAAGGTATCCTCGTCCTGGGCATAAGGGTGCTGGAATCTTTTTGAACTCCAAAGATTATTGGGCTTCTCTCGTTCTGGGCTGATACTCTGAAGTAGGAATCCTTTGGGCTTCAAGATATCCTGACTTCTAGTATTGGCCTGTCTCTTGAGGGTAGTTGGCAGCTGAGTGAGAAGAATTGCCAGCTATCTTGGTAGTTGCTGTGATACCTGGTAGATGACTTGGTCCATGAAAGGAACGATGAATTTCCGTCATTCCAGTGGTTCGTCAGGCTATCCACAACTCGTGGCAACTCCTGGCATTCCTACGTTTTTCCTCTTCGTTCCTGGGCTACCCAGCAGCTACCATCGAATCATTCTGTATACAGTCCTCGTTTGGTCATCATGTCACGAGTAGAACATACGGTATATCAGTAATTTCGAACCATGAGGGTTTTATAAACATAAAGTAAATCAAATCATCCGTGACATGGTGGAGGCGCCTAAGCTTCTTTCCTTGAGTCTCATTCTTCATAATGGACTCACTATACCTGACTCAATTTCATTAAAAAACAAAGTTAAGAGACACTAGTATAAAGGGTTATCAGAAGGAAGAAAAAACAAAAATTCGATAGAATATAATAGTTCAGTTATCTTGAAATCCATATCTAAGTATAGCAATATTTTTCAATTTCTGCAGTAATAAATTCTTATAGAAGTTATAGAATGATTAGTATAAAGTGAAGAAAGAAAGTTGGTTATTTAAGAAATAAAGTAAGCTATTATTGATATACAAACAAATATAAAAGGGGAATTCGAACATATTTTCGGAATTTTTAATGATATAGTGTCGCTACAAATATTGTTGTTATAATCCTGTGACACATCTCTACGTACAATTTGTACACATTACGTTTCATCATTATGCCTACTGACACCAAGAATGTCCGATGATAGTCTTCTAAATTTCAAATTACGATCAGGACTGGTGAAACCTAACCAAAAAACATCTTCAAAACCTAAATTAGTTGCGTTAGAAAAAATTCCGTTCAACCCCCCACACAGGAGCACAGACATATTCGAAAATAATCCTTTCAATAAGTCATTGAAACTGTCAAGATCGCCACCTTTAAGCCCTATTACGCACAGCCCGCGAAACCAGCTAAACTTCACTACCGAGCCCAGTAATCTATCAGAGAAAGACAGTGAAATTGGGACTGCAGACATACAGGAACCCAGAGACAGTGAGATACCGAAAATCGAATTAAACGACAAAGAGGCAATAGATGAAATTACCATCCCTAACTCGAATCCCGACAGCATAATTTCAGGCACTACTTTGACAACCACTAAAATTGAAACAAATATGGAAAACGTCACGCTGAATGCTAGTCTCGTAGCCCCGAGAACCCCAGCTACTCCCTCTTTTCTGAGCCCACAGATTTTCAACCCCTGTTCTGATAACGCATCGGCATTTATGAAAGGCTACGAACGTACAGCAGCAGCAAATGGATGGAATAACTCACTAAAAATCGCATACTTCGGATCCTTTTTGGAAAATGCAGCAAACCTTTGGTATACGAGGTATACAGAAGCTGTTGAGAATTCCCAAAAAACGTGGCCTGAAATTAAAAAGGACTTTCTGGGCGAATATGAAGGTCAGGACTTCAAAAGATCCATGGAAAAACGTCTCCTCGATAGGAAACAAACCCCCGGAGAATCAATAAAAACCTACTATTACCAACTACAAACTCTGTACGGTGAGTACGATCCAGGTTTTGATGTGGAGAATTTCCGGAAATATTTTGAAAACGGTATACATCAGGAATTCTATACCAACTATAGGCTTATTCTGGAAGACGGGATGACATGGGAAAAGTTTAACAAAATGGTGAATAAATTAGAAGATGTATCCAGCCCAAATACAAATCGCTGTGGCCCTCTTCACCCTTGCCAATGCGCTCAAAATCAACCAACCCCTAATTACGAACCACCAGTATCAGGATTCAGGAACAACGATTACCATCCCCAGAGGAACCAAACTAATTTTCGGCAGTCAAATCGAAATGGAAATACTCAAAATCAACAAGGATATTACAGATCACAACCAAATCCCAATCAATACAGACAAGGCAACTACAGAAGTAATTTTCAAGGGCAACAAAGCAGGCGTCCAGATTATCAGGGGAAACCTCCAATAAGGTATGGAAATTATAACCCAAACGGCAATTTTTCGCACTTAGGACCCTCAGCTAATAGAGCATTCAATTCACGTAACCACGATGGAAGGCCTCGGTGTCAATTATGCAACAGGGTAGGACATACGGCGATTACATGTAGGACAGACAGTTACCCAAACGGGAACGGACGACACAACTAAACTCCGCCGTCGTCCTGTCAAACAGCGGAGGCATGAAACACACGACTGCTAAAGAAGTTTTGACGATAGGGCTGAAAATCAACAAAAAACCAGTAAGCGCAGTCTTAGATACAGGCGCCCAAAATAGCATAGTTTCAAAGGACTTCATAAAATATTATAGACCCTGCCGAAATAATTTAATCGTAGCCGGAGGACAGAAAGTCCCAACGATGGGAGAGGCAATAATCAGGATATCTATAGGGCACCTGGAAACAACGTGTAAAGTTATAGTTATAGACAAACTTCCAGTACCTGTTTTACTTGGCATGGACTTCTTGAATAAACATATGTGTGTCATTGATTTGCGTAATCGAAAAATAACCCTCGAAATTAAAGGGAAAATCATAACTAGGGGGATGAAACAACATAAACAAGCACCTAATTTGGCCTTATCGTCTGAAGTGGACCGCAGAATACCCGAAACATTTGACTACAAGAATGCATACCATAGCGAGATAGCTGCGATCACAAAATTCACGTTGAAAAATAATGAATCCATCAGCGAAGTATTTGGAATTTTTGATACAGAACCCGAAAACATTGGGACCTTTATGCTACAACCATGTTCCAACATAATCGAGGAACAAACCACTCTTACCCCAAATACAGAAGCAAAGCAGACCGAAGGAAACACTACAGAGGAATGGATAGAGATTCCCACAGAAGTCGAAGTGCCTGAGAAACCTGACAAAGTAATCCTGAAAGGCGACCACATATTGAAACCCTGGGCGAAAACAAAAGTGTTAGTTCAACTTTCTAGAAATGTTTCGGATTTAAAAAACTTCAAATTCACGCAAAACGAAATTTTTCTGTCGAATAATGGATTGATATGTTCACCCCTTTCTATAGACAAAAACGATGCTACCCTCATGATAATGAACCTCAGCAATATGAATAAAAAAATATTCAGAAGTACGACGGTCGGTTTCCTGGAATATCAAGATAGTGGCTTTGAGGAAGCCCTAATTCTGTACACAGAAAACGAGGAAGGTCAAGATGAAGACGTGTTACTAAGTGATCATGATCTGTCACACTTGGAGGATGCAGGATTCAAAGAAAGCCTTTCAGAATTGCTTGTGGAATACGCAGACGTATTCTCAAAATCCACGAGAAAAATGGGCATAACCAACCTAACAGAACACAAGATCGAAATAATGGAAGACACAAAACCAATTAAAAATAGGCCCTATAAAGTGTCGCAGAAAGAAAGGGAAATTATTGACGAACAAATACAGGATATGCTAGATAACAATATAATTCGTCCATGCCATTCTCCGTGGTCAAGCCCAGTGGTTCTTGTCAAGAAAAAAGATGGCAAAATAAGGTTCTGTGTAGATTACAGG